ACCTGGTGATTTACTCTGGGATTTCTCTATTTCAGTCTAGAGCTAGGAAGACAGATGCAACAACTCTTTGGGGTTTATATCTTTGGAGAAAAGAGTATTCTAAGCTACAATGAAATATCCCTAACCCCTACTGATTGCCAGCACAGGCTTGAAAAATATGTATCCAGAAGTATCACTGAAACTCCTTGGAAAAGCTCACAACACAAACCAACATTAGGATATCATCTCTTCTCTGGAAAAACAAATGTGATCTGATGCATTGTGTAGTTGAATATTTCACTATTTTAAGGATAATGCTCCTCCAATATCAAAGTATACTACAAAAGACTGAGTGCAGTCATCAAACTATTCCTTAATTAAAGCTTGACAAATGCAAATAATGAAAAATTAGTCATTAAAACAAAGTGTAAAGACACGGTGAGAAAAAACAGGTAATAGTACCTTCCAGTGTTGTCCATAAACAAGTATGTGTTTCTTGGCAATATCTAGCTGGTTCCAGGCCAATGCCAAATCTAGCTGATCTGAAGCAGATCTATTCATACCTAGGAGGCAGCAAGGGATCTATCAGTTTTCACACATATATGTTACTACCTTACTTTGTAAAGATAAGTCAGCGAGACCACGTGCCAGATAAAAACAGGTCATATTTTTCAATACCTTTCAAGAGTGCCGTCAGAATTGCCAAATCAATGTCCTGCTCATCTTCTGACTCAGCATCAAATATGGTTATCTGTTAGAATTGCAGAAGTATACTGTTTGAGGTGAGGCAGAGAAGTCTGTATTTATTTCTTCTTTGTATGGGCTGTGGTAGATTAAATCATATACATTTCAACACAAACAATGGCAAGGGCCCAGACACAATTTTCCTTTGTTTCAGAGAGAAAGTCCACCATTTAGGTTTTTAATGCAATGGTACCTCAGGAAAACTGGAATAAACTTACTGCTGGAGTCTACTTGGGTATGTTTCCTTTTAGTTAACCTTTAAACCTGAGAAATGTAAAAATGCAACATTTGTTGATACTCACTCAGTTCTCAGCTAGAAAACAGACACTACAATAAAGTAAAACAAAAAATACTAAAAAAGTATTGGAGAGTTTCCATTTTAATGATTATTAGAACAATTATCATTACTTGCCTATATACTGGGAACTCCATCATACTTGAAATGTTGCAATAGACTGGCAAAGTAACTGGAAAAGGGGAAACATAAGACCCATTTTTGAAATGGCTAAAAAGAAAGACTTGGAAAACTTGTAAGGCAGTTAATTTCAGCTTACAATCATGGAGTAGATCCACCTGGAAACTAAAGCACATGGAAAATAAGGTGGTGATTGGTGACAGCCAATATGGTTTACTCAAGTGAATGGCTGGCAGCTGGAGGGAGGGAGGGGATTTCCAGTTACTAGTGATGTTTCAGAGACAAGTTCTAGCACAATTCTCGTTGTGAGTAGAAGAATGGAAGGACACCTTTCTAAATTACAAATAAGACTCTACTAGAGAAGAAAAATATAGGAATTACTTGATCTTTCTTGTGAAAACAAAGATATTTGGTCTTCCACTAAAATCAGAAAGTCTCTCATTTTATTAACAATGGCTGAAACTGAAACTTGAGAAGTTAACTAAACTGGCTCTGTAGAGCTACTTTACTCTGTAGACCAATATAGAAATTGGCACAGACACATTTGTGTTATATTTACATTCGATATAACACCTCTGCTCATGCCAACCCACTAGGGAAAGAGCAAAAAGGGTAACAGAAAATGAAGTCTAACTCAATCAGCACATGAACCCTACTCACAGACTCTTTGTGTTTCATGCATTCCAACAAAACTTGAAATAGACGACTGGACTGTTTCTGTTCCAACCTAAATATGTTCTGAATCATCATTAAGACCTCCTCCTTCACCTGAGGGCACAGATCCCTGGAAAACAGACATATGATCAATGACAGTTCTATTTTAAATACTTCTTACCCACCCAAATGACTCTTCAGAAAAGATGAAGCGTAGGACAAATTTCTTTTTTTTCCCTATTTTTTTCCTACTTCTCTGTTGACTTAATCTGTCTTTCAACACAAAGCAAAGTCATCTCATAATATAAATTATTAATCACATACACATTTGTTCTGACACACATATTTACTGTTGAAAATACAACACATGAGTAAATTAACAATTTTCAAAGGATTTTCTGCAAACATAGAACTAAAAATTACTGAAAGTAATTTTTCTTTCTTTCAATAAAGAAAAATAAGCATAAAATTAATTTCCTTACCATTTGTTCATTAGACTTCATATCTCTCCTATTTCTTTTTCACATTTTTGTCTTTCTGTTAGCCTTTCCATTAATATTTTCCTTTCTTTCTTATATAATGATTTTTTTTAAATATCATAAATATAGGGGGGAAAGCAAGTGAAGAAAAAAAGTTCTTGGACACACTAGGGGCAAATACCACATATCCAAAAGTATATTCATAAAAGACAATAAGACAACAATTAGGATATAAAGTTTACTAAATAACTTATTTTCTTAATGGGAGTGAACCCAGGGCTTTTCTTTAAAATTCAAATTTTTTAATTAAAAAGCTCTTTGACTTTGAAAAACTTTTACATATAATATTAATTGGCTATGCAAACATATACTTTTATGTCCAGTTTGAATGCAACATTTTCACCAAGGTGGGTTCAATAGAGTCTCCATCTGAGACTGGACTGGTGGTGACACAGACACCTTGACAAGTATGACAAATCTGGGCTACCACTGAGTAACCCAAAACCGAGGCTGAGGAAACTTAGCCTTCCTTCTGCTCCAGCCTGAGGCTCCTACAGCAGCTCTAGTCTCAAAAGTTTTGTACAATCCAAATCCAAGTCCACATACAGAATATTGATAGCTGGAGACATGGCTGAGCTGAAACAATGGCAAATACTCTGGGGATCATCCATTAATTTGTCTCACCAAAGGTGAGTAATTTCATAACTCAGTGTAGCTACATGCAGTTTTCCCTCTTTAAAAAAAGCCATAAAAATTTTGGCAGAATTATTATCTCATCACTAGTTTGAGAGGCAGGGAAGAAATAAAATCCATTCTCCCACCACGGAAGTTAAAGCTGTCAAAAGACCAGAGGGGCATCATTACTAGAAGCAACAGAAATTATCTCAGCAGTTTTGAGACAGGGGTTTGTAGATGCCTGCCAGCATGGCAGAGCAAGAAGGAGGAGCATTATGCCACTACTCACCCTGTGTCACCCGTGTGCTTGTGGGCAAATGCCAGGATATCTGCAGCTCTGCCAGTGCCCTCATAGACCACCACTGGCACAGCTGGGCTGGCCCTCACATACTCCCACACCATCAGGATCACACTGGGGCCTCCTTCCAGCACCAGCCCAACTATGGGAACACCTTGGCCCATTCCTGTTTCAAAACATACCTAACCAGTTACAAACAGATCTCAGTCACACACACACAAAAGTCAAAACATCTGGGGAAAAAATATTTATACATGGTTAAACATGGAGAGGAAATAATCTGTAATCAATCTTCACCATCTGTAGTTTCACTTACATCTATTAAGACTTTCAGAAAACTTCTTCAAACAGATCAAAAAATGTCATTAAAAACTACTGAAAAAACTGTGAACATCAGGAAGAAAGAACACCCTTCTAAATATCCCTCTTCCCTTTATAATAGTTGTCACATGCAAGGACATTTGAAACATGTTCAATGGCCATGTATTTACCTACACACATAGAAAAGTATTTCTTCAGGGACTCTTTGAAGTGTTATATCAGCAGGGAAGGTTTTTTTAAAGAACAGAAATTAATTTCAAGTACAATGCAATAGAAATGAAAGTGAAAGCCTGACTTGCAAAAGCCCATACTAAGAAAATCTAAGAGTCAAATTAAGAAGCTCAGTATGAGAAAACGTTAAAAACTGGGTTGGTTTCTAAGTTTGTCAGTTCTATTATATGAGCAGATAAAGGAAGCAACATCAACATCATAATATTAATGCCTTTTTAACAAACCTCAAGATTTGAATGACTAGGTAAGAGCTAACTTCCACAAATAATTTGTTCAATCTAATGCATAAAAGGAAATAATTGTCTATATAATAAATGTATATTTGATTATTTCTTTACTGTAATTTATTTCCTCTATAAATAAATGGTGGAAATAATGCAATATATCAAACATTAACTAAAGATTTTACTTCTGCAACCGCCCTTCATTGCTGTACTTGAGGAGGTCACAGGCTTGCAGTAGAGTGATGAGGGCAAAAGTAGTTCACATGGTAAAAAAGATTTGAATTACACTGAATGTAACAATCTTTCCATCTCACAAAATGCTGAGGAAGTATCTAGTGGTGAAATAGCAATGACATGAAAATGAAGTGAGCAAATGCTCAGTATTTACTGAATAATCTGGGCCATTTAGACCTCTCTACAACTGAGAAACCCATTTGTGAGTTCATCCAAATGCATAATGCTTTATAAAAATGCTGTCCTTTTAATTTTCCTAAGTTTTAGAGTTCAAGACACACGTAATCAATAACATTTCACCTCAGTGAAATCTATGGTAAATCAAGTTGCACAATATGTAACATGAAATGTCAAGTACCTCCTGATATTTTAGGATAGGTTTTCCTGTCATAAAGCAGATATGCCACAGCAACACTCACTTGTGTGTATTTTTTGAAGTGATATGTACTTCTCCAAATTCCTCCTGAGCATCATTTCATTCCCATACTTGCCTACTGTCCCATCATCTGCCATTAGAAAATGAGAATGCATGCTGTTGAGCGTACTCAGCTTGCTGAGTGGGTTACCAAGAGTCTGGTACAAGCAAACTACCTGAGAAAACCAAAACAAAAATGTCCTCAAAGGAACCAGCCAACCAAATAAACCAACAAAATACCACGATTTGTGTTCCCTCACTTCTATATATTTCTTCATGACAGTGTGGCTGCTCAAAATTCTACATCATGCCTTTTGAGCTACTCAAACATTTGATTCTTAGCATTTGATTCTTAACAGCAACAAACCCATAATTAATACCTAAAAAAAAACAGTTCTGATTAGGTTTGTAATCCTTAAAGTCATTTCCTGACATTCTTTGCAACAACTGGAATATCATGGCAGTTACCCTGAGTTGAATTCCCATTAAAAATACATGAGCTAACATTTATCAGGAATGATTTCACCTTACTACTTAAGTATTTTTAGATACTTGAGTAGATTATGCCCTCACAAAAAGTCATAGTTTGTGAATATAAAATAGACTGTGAGTAAAATAATGCACATATAAATAGCTTATTTGTGTACACTGCTAACCTGATTGTTCATTCTGAACCTTAATATAGAAAAACATCATTTACAACTACAAGAGAGTTACCTACATAATTATGAAATATAAAAAAGGAATGACAATTTCCTGTAAGAAGACAAGTATTCTAAAGCTATTCATTTACACACAAAAAGCAAAATGCAGTGCCTCAACATGGCACAAAGTTCTGTTGCTGAGTAAAATCGAAGCCTCTATTATAATGAAAAAAAAGATCAAACTAGTGAAGTTAACCTAGAAGAAAATCAACTGTGCAAGAAAATTCTAACATCCCATGAACACAAAGGCTTTTGTTATTAAAATGCATTCAACTCACATCTTTTCCAATGAGATCCCTCTGATTCTCAATGATACCCCATGGAGGAATCCCAATAGCACAGATCTTTCTCAGGTGTGGTGAGGCACGGCTTTTGAGTGCATCCCCCACATGCCTGGACACTCCTAAACAGATAAACAAATTATAATTTTTCTTCTATATTCAGATACCCGCTAGAGGACACCAAGAAAGGTTTCACATCACTTCATTAGTACTGTAGTTATGTTTCAATCAAAACCAAAGCATTGTACCCAATCTGTGTATTTGATGAACACTTCACAGCTCAGGTGTAATGTACCACTGCTTCAAACTCAGCACATATTTCTAATTATTAATACTCTTACATGTTGCTAATGGTACTTTTCATATCCATAAAACTTCATTAGTTACATAAATGCCCAGGATAGTTCTCTTGTAAGATCACCAGACTGAGTAACAGCTAAAGAAGTAAAACTTTTAGTTCCACAGTTTACTGACCCCTGAGTTTTTGAGAGTAGTCCAAATGGATTTTTACCTACTAATAGACTAATTAACAGATTATCTTGATTCAAAACTTTATCAATTATAGAACACAAGTTAAATTGATCTTTGAAAATTGTTTCAAAAATATTAATCATAGTCCACAGAACATAAATATTTTAATGAAGCAGATAAATTTACTGCAAATAAGTTCTGGCTATATGCAGTGTTTCTTACTACATGCAGAATACTCTGCCCTTTAATTAAAATATTCAGAATGCCTGTCTCCAGCAAACTAACATGATCCCACTCTCTGAATTATGCACTACTGCTTATATAAGAATGGCTGGATTTTGTTTTGAAATATCACCAATTTTCAGATAATTTCATTCTATTTGACCTAAATGTACATGTCGTTACGTGGGAAAAAAACACTGAAAGGAAAAGTGAAACAAAGACAAATAATTACACTACCACTGTTGATGCCTTCTGTAATTATCCATGCTCCTGTAGACTCGGCAGCCTTCACCAGCCCTTTGCTGAAAACCTGCTTGACCTTTGCAGGAAGCTTGAAATTTTGAGTGCCTCCATGAACAGAGATCACTAGCTTTGGCAATTCCATCTGCCATTCTTTAACCATCAGGTGCAGCAGCTGATCCAAATTGCTGTCATAAGAAAGTCTAATATACTGGAAAGGAAGAAAAATGGGCAAAATAAACGTCTTTTAAATACTTCAGGAGAAGAAACTGCAACACATTAAAAGTTCTAAGCATTAATGTCCTGCAGATTTCTGAAGGACCAGAGCTGTCATACAACCCTAACACAATAGCATAAAAATTCATGTGAACAATTCAGACAATGTATCCCTAACCACAGTGAAGTTCAACATAAAAATACACACACATTTTAATCCAGTTTACTTTTAGATTCCCCTGCCCTTTTAACACAATTTATTTGATATGCAACCAATCAAATTTTTGCGTTTCTTTGTCTTTCTTTCCTTATGTTGAAATTAAAAAAACAAGTCAGACATATAAACACAACACCTGTTACCTTAGCATGGTAAGTGTGGTCTCCATCTTGAAAATTGATTGTACCAAATGCATCTGTTGGACTAATTTCTGTGTGTTTTTGCACAGACCATTCTCCACCATCGCTCTGTGAGCCTGCCTGATAAACAGGCCAGCTGCATTCTAATCCTTGGTGTTCTCCAATCAGCCGTCCACAGCAGCACCTCACATTAAAAATAAAGAAATTATTTTATATCAGACTCATATACAATTTAGGATCTACAAATGAATAGCCCAAATAATTTCCTGCAAAGAAAAATACTGAAGTTGTCTCACATGGAATGCAGTAAAAATTAACCATGTTGAAAAAGATTGCAACAATAGAAAAGTAACATTGAATCATATCATAATTATGTTTAGTGGGCATAGAATTTGTTTTCCACCTGAGGAACACTTATAAAAGTTGGGGGGGCTGAATTAGAAAGTCTTCAGAAGTCCCTTCCAGTCCATACCATGCTGTGATTCTGTGTGGTTCTGTAACTGAGAATCCCCTACAGAAATTCTAACATTCAGTTTATGTTCCAATTCAGAGGAATGTTGTAGGACACTGAGGTTTGCTATGAGTATTTCCACTGGTTATTCTAAATACTAAAGAAAAATCTAGGAGTTATCCTCAGCAACCAGGAGGAGAATTTCAGGATGACCTTTATGTTAACTCTTGGAATCTAGCAAAGTCAATATACTAAATACATGGATTGAAGAGCAGTATTGAGGGAGATTGCCATGGTTTGGGTATGGTACTCCTCAGTTTAATGCTCCCACCGAGACTCTCCATACCACACACCACTCACTTGCTCAAACCTTTCCCTTCTGTTCTCTTTGCAGTGCACTGGAGAGAAGAAGTGGAGACACAAAAGGTAAAGATTGCAGAATGAACTGGAAACACCAACGAGATAAGAGAACAACAACATTACTAATAACAGACAGCACAAGAAATGAACATTTCACACAGAAAGCCCTCAACAATAGACAATACCTAACCACTCCCTTGGTTACCCTATGCCAACCCAGAAGAGCCCCTTCTAGCACATGATATGATACTTAGCAATAGTCCAGTCAGGGCCAGGAGCTGGACACAATGCTCACTGTGGATTCTTTCCAACTCAGCATATTCTGTGATACTCCCTGGAAGAGAGAGAATCCCTTACTCTCAGCAGGGATATGTGGTGGTATAGAATAACCCATAAGTCCTAGCCATGTCCCCTCCTGGCTACTCCAAAAAATAACCCTGCCCTGGCAGGAATGGGGACATTTTTCACCTCTTATTCTATACCATCCATCTCATGGCCAAATCATACACCTTCCAATTATAAACATACATATACATATACACATACATACATATATATGTGTATATATACACACATATACACACACAAGCTTAGGTATCATAGTCAATGGCCTGCCTCCAAGATATCTGTAGAGTTCACTGAGTCCATGGCTGTGGGTTCTCTGTCCTAGATGCCTTCCAGGGCAGGAGGGCTGGTGTGCTGCCAGGTGGTTGCAAGCTGCATCATGAGCTCATGACCAGTGTGTCTGGAGCAGCCCATACTCACTGTCCATGGCAGCTCTGGCACACAATGCCAGTGTCATTCAGCAACCAACAATACACACACAGTTCAACACTACAGACTGTTCTCATGCAAAAATCAAATCCCCTTCCAAGTACACATCCTGGTTTACAGTCGCTATGTGTTATCCACCAAGTACACCCGGGTCACTGAACAAAAACATTGCCATGGGTGAGTGTGCCTTTGCTTGAGACAGGACTAATGCAAACTAACTTCCCTAACATATTCCTCATATGCACCGTGGAGATCTTATCCTTTTCTCCCCTTCTACAGTACATGAAGTTTTTGATTGGGTAGGGCAAGTTCAATTTATGGAGTCTCTGGTATTAGCCAACCAGATGACCTTCCTGAATACAGATCCCAGTGTTTGAAGGTCCTATGACCCATTGTTTACAATGTCATTTTAACAGTCCATTGTCCCGTTCAACTTTCCCAGAGGCTGGTGCATGACAGGAACATGATACCCACTCAAAACTGTGCTCTCTGGACCAGAGGTCTATGGAATCAATCTGCCAGACCTCTCCATATTTATATTTTACCCATGATACCACAGAGGCTTTTACCCACTTGGCCTGCTTGATCACAATGCATGTTTCACAGTTACGGATCATTTGGGAAATAGTGTCCATGGTTAAGTCCACCCCTCTCTCACGAGCCCATCTGTATGTTGTGTCTGTTCCCTGATGACCTAAGGTATCATGGGCCCAATGAGCCAGAAATAATTCACCCTTATGCTGCCAGCACAGATCCACCCAAGACACTTGAATCTCAACAGCCCAATCCACCTGTCCCTTGTTGGGACATTCTTCAGCAGCCCAGCTCTTGGGTGTGTGCATCTACACAATTTGCTCTGTGCTCTTACAGCCAGCTTCCCTACATAGGCAGCGGTGTTTTTCCAGAATTCAGCAGCCCACATGGGTTTACCTCTGCACTGTCTTAACTTTTTCACTGCTCAAGCCATATCTACAGAGCATTTACTGTCATGCACAAGTCAGTGTAGAGGTAGAGCAGTGGCCATTTCTCTCATTCAGTGATATCTAAAGCCAGCTGGATGGCTTTCAGCTCTGCAACCTGACTTGATGCACCTTTTCCCTCAATAGATTCTGTGACTTGCCATGGAGGAGCCCAATAGAGCAGCTTCCCATTTTTGATGTGTTCCTCCATTACAGCAGGAAGCATCAGTGAAGTGAGTATATCACTTTTCATTTTCTGGTAGCTGATTATATGCTGGGACCTCCTCAGGACATGTCTCCTACTCTCTGTCCATTTCTGAGAAAAATACAAAATTTTTCTCTTTGGGCCAGTTTCCTGATTCCTCAGCAATTAGAATTTCCAGTTCAAACTCCCTGTGTTATCTGCACACTTCACTTACTCTATAAAGCATGAGTGCCATGATATGTGGCAGGGACTTTCCCCTTGAACATCCTGCCCAGCCCTGGCAGTCAGAGTGCCAGGAGGAGCTGTACTTTGGTGCCAATCACTTCCAAAGCAGCTCAAACCCCTTCATAACCTGCCAGGATCTCTTTTTCAGCTGGGGTGCAGCAGGCCTCAGGTCCTTTGTATCCCTGTCCTGCTTTTGTCAGGGGATAGGCTTAGTTTCTTGCACTAGCTGTGATGGGGCATGGCTACGGCCTATATGTTGCTCTTTACCACCTCACATCATTGCTATAGGCAGAGGTGAGGGTGTCTCTCTCTGTTCTCTGGGGAGAAGGGATTATTTCTGGTTGAATAAGTGTAGTGGAGGAAGCTGGTTTCAAGCCAGAGACAGGTTCAGCTGATGCCAGTCCCAAGAGGGACAAAGCAGTGAGACTGGCCCTGCTGGGGTCATGAGCTTCACAGTGATCATTTTTGCATGATCACTCTTCTTTTTTTGGTTTTTTGGGGTTTTTTTGTACACTTTTTTTATTACCATCATTGCTGATAATAAAAAAAGTTTATTTACAGCGGTTTGCTTTTTTTCTTATCAAATTGCTGTTTGCAGTAAATTGTTCTTATCTCAAACCATGACCTTTGCCTTTTGTGTCTCCAATTCTCAGCTTCACCCCACTGCAGTGCAAAGGTGGAGGGGAAGATGGAGTGGGAGAGAGAGGCATGTGATTTTGGAGAATCTTTGTGGGGGAACTGAACTGGGGAGTACCATTCCTCAACCAAGAGGAGCCCTGACTCCAGGACCCCTGGGGTCATCCTTGAGTCTCCCCAGGCACATTTTGCCAGAGACTCCAGAAAGGACTATTCTCCCCACCTGCAATGTAGAGCACATTTTTCACATCTTGTCCTGTCATGACAGCCCAAGGGCTTTTGCATGATCAGCCTCCAGTTTGATTTGTTCAAAAGCTTGTTTATCAGGACCCCACTTAAAATCATTCGTCTTCCAGACCACTTGATCAAGAGAACTTTCAATCTGACTGTAATCCTAAATAAAGATCCTTCAAAACCCACAACACCTAGGAAAGCCTATGTTTTTTCTTGCTGGTTGGCTGGGATCACAACTACTAATGTGTTGACCACATCCATTGCAATTTGACGGCATCCATCCTGTCATTTTACTCTTAAATTCAATTTTATACCTAACTGAATTTCCTGGGCCCTTGACCTTACTTTGGCTTATGGCAAAAGCAGTCTTCAGGAGAATTTTCCATCCCACTTCCACATGTCGTCTCCATGGTCGCGCAACAAAAATCACAGGTTACCTCATCATGGGTACCCTCTCTCTTGAAGGGATCCACTTGCTCCCAGTAGCAGAGACACAAGTCCATGCTGGTGGGGAATAGGACACTTCCTCTCTACCTTACTCGAGCCTTTTGAATCTGTCTGTAGTCTTGGGCAGTCTTGGGCAGTCTTTCCACAGAGAAGGCAGAAGTTGGTAGGAAAACAAAAAAATCTTAATATTGTTGGAATCCTGTAGTTACCTGAAGTACTATTTATTCTCCTCCTATGATGGACATCAATAGCAATGAGTTGGTGTACGATGATCATGTGCTCCGTACAAACTTTGCCACATGGATCGTGCACACCGGACCTCATCCGGATCTATAGGGGACTGCACATTATTTGAGTTCCTATAGATTACCTCCAGAACACTGATTCTCCCAGGTAATGGATACCTTTCTCCATGGTGTCCCACCTGCCTGGGTGCACTACTAGGTAATCCTTGAGAGAGTACCTTTCTCTCACACTTGACAGGAGTCACCTCCAAAGGCTGAGAGCTTCTGTCCTCTTTCCGATGCCCTTGTCAATGCCCAGATCCTGGAAGAGGGATGCAGGTGCTTGGCTTCACTACCATTTAGTTTCACATCATAGGCCACAATACACAAGCATCAGAGCAGCTAGGTCACCTGACTGGCAGCTGAAATCTTTTCACATGTCTCACAGCTCAGCTGAAATATCTTCTCCCTATCCCACCCAGGGATAAGGATCAGGGGATCTGGCCCTCCCTCTTCCTCCTGTCATGAGGGCCCTACCTCCTCTTAAACCTACTAAGTGAACTGATTTGGTCTTGAATTTCTTCATTTGTAGGGGCAACCACTGGTTGTTCCTCTGGTTCAGCTTCAGTTGAGTGGCCACAGTGCCTCTTGCTTTGCTTTCCTTGTCCT